GCATGGGTTGTGATGCTGTTTGCTTTTGTAGGTTATAAGCGACGTTTTGGAGAAACACTGGTAGGCCTTCGCGTAAAATAACGTTTAAAACTTTATATGTCTGAATTCTTTTCCATTAATATTTCAGTCTACATATATTTAAAAGAAGAATCTACTTGGCCATACTATCTGCTCTGTGCTGGTATTAAGACCAAAACACACAATTTAATAGCACATTAATAAAAAAAACAAAGGTCATAAAAATTTTAATACAGCTATGTATGTCCTATAAAGTGTTTGTTTTTAAAACCTTTTTAATATTATAATGTCCTATAAAGTGTTTGTTTTTAAAATCTTTTTAATATTATAAAAAAAACAGAGAAATTTAGATAGCTATATTCTTTTGATATACCTTTATTACCCACATTATTATTGCAACAAATAGACCTACGGCATTTTAATAGTTCCAGAAATGGTAGCCAGATTCCACAAAGGTTAAAGTGGAAAGGACAATGACACATTATCATTAATCACTTGTTCCACCAACCCAAGTCACCATGGAGACCTACTGCCAATAGATCCTCCATCTCTGTTCAGTCCCAGCGATAAATGGAACGAATCTGCTACTTACAGATCCCAGTTAGCTGTGAACTCAGTAAATCTTTTACGCAGTATGGCGCCATAACGGAGGAGAGCAGTTACAACCATTGAAGACACAATTCCTCTAAAACCTCACTGTTTGAGATTGTATTAGAATCAGCGCGGCACTGCCTGCTCTAAGGCATAGTTCCTCGTCTTGTGGAATGGGCACAGTGAACTACCTGAGAGTTGTTAAAGGGAATGCATTGAATCAAGTTTCAGTTTCTCTCACTAATGACTCAACACCGTAAACCAGAATGCTGATGGCAGCATCCAAATACGGTCCAAGCTAAAAGTTGGAACAAGAAAAATGTCGGAGAATCAAAAGCAATCTCCTATTGACACTGCTTCCTGTAAGCTACGTCTTTAGTCAATATGGCGGAAGAAGGCGTGTTTTAATTACTTCAATGCTAATATTCAATAAAATAAACACTTTTGTAAATAGGTCTGTGCTTCTATGATGACGTATGGTTTCGGTTGTTGGCAAGTCACAAATACTTTTCCTTAACTGCTAAAATAAGACGGGAGCTTTCTTATTTCACTGATATTCGGGAACTCGAAGCACAATTGAGATCAGAAGTTCAGTGTTTCTCAAGAAAATACGTCGTGCGTAGTACAACAGAAGATATTAACATATGTTACTAACCCGTAGCTTTCAACAACATAAATTAGATTTCCCTGATAATTCTCTAAGACAAAGCATTTTAAAATAAAAAAAATTATTAAAAGGGATTAAGAACTTACAAATACCTAATACTGTAGAACTTCAAAATGTCTGCTGAAAGCGCTTTTAATATTTTTTATTATTATGAAACCACGAGCGTTTTCCTGTACAGTCCTCCATTCAAGGTTTTCCTTAACACGAATCCTTTCTGTAGAAATAAGTTATGAAACCTATCCCAAATATAATGAGTAAGGGGTATTATTTATTGCAGCAAAAGTAGAAGGCACATACACCAGACTCTCCCCTACAGCCGTAACACCATACAAAATGGCTGGACCTGCGTGGTGAAAGAGCTCTGCGTATTTCGGGGAGTCCCCTGTTTCACAGAACCCTACTTTAATAAAGAAGCTTAAAGTCAGAAGAAAATGTGATATCAGACGTAGAGTACCGGAAATAAATATATGTCTTTACATTTTCCTGCAATTAAAAATATTTAAATTTAGTATTAAAACTATATAATCTTTAAGTCACTCAAAACTATCACATCATTCACAATATAATTTATCATAGATATCTGATTGGGGAGGGAGTTGGCAAATAGATGAATCCCCCCCCCATCTTTCTCGTTTTTTAATCATGTGAGTTAACATTTAAAGTACCTGTTCTTCGCATGAACTTATCTTAAACGAACTACCAAAATAATTAAATGTCAATACAATAAACTATTAACGAATACATATCACTGGTCTTCTACATGGACCTACAACTTCATTATCTGACACGAGAACGCTAGTAGGTACATTGCAAGAGACATTGAACTATTCTTAGTTTGTCGTTGAATTCATGTTCTAAAAAATAAGTGAACCACTTGAGAGAAATAGTGGAAGGATAATATTATAATTTATCTTAAACAGGTAGGCTAGTTGTGAGGGTGTGCACTGGATTAATCTGGCTCAGGATAAGGTTCAATGACTCTGTTGTGAACCGGAAATTATACTTTGGAAAAGATTGCTGTCTTCTCGGTTGTAGTCATAAAATCTGATAGAAGTTTACCATCATCAGGGCGATAAATCGTCGGCTACAACCTCTGAAACGTTGATAAACTTCTATCAGACTACACTACGCTTCAAGCCAGATGAGAGTAAAAATTGGACTCACCTCAAATTCTACTTATATTTTGTGGTTTTGTAAGAGGCGGGATATTTCTTGACTAGGTGAGCGACTATCAGATTTCAGGAAGGACCCTACTACATGCAGCAAGTGTAGTGACTTAGACCGTTATTTCTCCCTATACGTTCAGGTATTTGAGCAAACTCTGTAGATAATGAGATACATATGTTATGTACGTAACCTGCTTGCGTAACGTGACGCCTGAAAAGTATGTTGCTGGAAGTTGCATGTAGATTTGTGATGGGAACACTGTTCATCTGACAACAATCAGTTCTGTGTGGGAAACAGCAAGTTGTTATCATCCGCACTGCAAACCAGTTTGAAGAGAACAAGAGGAAATGACCTTCTGAATAATTGGAATTTTGTAACTGTTCTAATAGATTCGTTCAATTAGTCAGTGTCCCACTGCCTTCCAATAGAAAGTACAAGGAGCGGTCGGACGGAATCGATTATACTAACATCGAGAACTGCATATCTGGTCCAATCCTTCTAATATTTGGCGAATACACGTACTGATTGACTGTGGAGGGAAATAAAAGTCACTATTTTTTGTATATACGTAATAAGTAGGTTTACTATCGTATGATTTGAGGTTTTCACAGCGGTGAGTACGAAGATTTCTGTCTTCTGGGTTGTTGCGCTGTGTAGTCTGGTCGATGTTAACCAACGTTTCAGAGGTCATACTGCCTCCGTCATCAGAGTATGAAGATTTCTGTCTTCTGGGTTGTTGCGCTGTGTAGTCTGGTCGATGTTAACCAACGTTTCAGAGGTCATACTGCCTCCGTCATCAG